CCTGCATCTTTGCGAATTCTGATGGTGTTTCACTACAGTTATAGGAAAGCAGTTCTGAGAATAAGAATAATAGAATCATAGAATGGCCTGGGTTGAAAAGGACCACAATGATCACCTAGTTTCAACCCTCCTGCTATGTGGAGGGTTGCTGACCACTACTCCAAAGACGGAGGTTAAGTTAAACTGGAATCCCTCCATCTACCACTGATCATATGCTTTGTAGAACAAAAAAAAGCCCATGTGTTTTCATCATCTTTATTGCAAGAATGCAGAATAGAATTTTGTGTTCAACTCTACTGCTTGCTAATTTGGCCAGATGCTGACTGAACTTTCATTTTATTTGACTGAACTTCTAGAGAAGATTTCAGGGCAGTGTTATTGCTTTTAACAGTTATATGCTTAAGCTTATGGTGTGTGCCATTTGCTTTCCAGACATCTGTATGATTTGAGGAAAAAGGAATTCTCTGACAGTGTGGTATTCATAATTTAAGTAAATCTACCCTCAGAAGTAATGGCCTTTTGGGCCATTAGATGTTAACTGCTGTTAGCAGTGGCTGCTAGCTTTCATTTGCATTTTAGGGAATTTGTGGGAATTCAATCAGTACTGAAAGCTAAGAACTCAGCAAGCTTAAAAAGAGCATACGTTTTTTAATTAGGCTGCTTTTCACATATTTAATTTTATTATGTACAGTGAAATGAATGAGATTGTTAAATAGACTGCCAAGATAGATGCTATGTAGTTAACTGTGTTATGGAGAAATAATATCAAATTATATCTGTCTTGTAATTTTTAAATAATTTTGCCCTGCAAAGTTTACTACCATATAAAATGAGTAGGTTAGTCGTTGTTAGGAAGCTTGCATAAGGCTTCCTAAGTACATGGTGGCTGGAAGAATTTATCATAAAAAACAATAAAGCTCAGAAGTTCATGGTTATAATTCAGTTTATGTGGGGGAGGAATCATGAGACATTTTTATTATTTCCAAATGTAAATTAATAGACATAATCTCCTAAATCATGCTTTTCAATTTCAAAGGCAAAATCAATACAGTTTAAAATACCTGAAATACATTTTATCTATTGCTTAGAAGCTCAGCTTTTCACTCTTTCCTGTTAAATACCTTGGCAGTAACTCATGCTGTGTAGATAGACAGTGATTTACACTAAATGATAATAATGCAAATCTGTAGACCAGGAAAATGAAATTATTTATTAAAAAAAAAAAAAAAGGAACTTATTAGGCTCATTTTCTATGGAAACAAAGGGTATGTGAGTTTACTTTCTCCATGTTTGTCCCTCTGTTTCCTTACCCTGTGGCTAGTTGTGAGCAACTTAGCATGGCTCAAAGTCGCTGAATTCCTACTAATTTTGGTGGTGAGAGAGAAAACCTCTCTGAGATACTGTAATACTAAGTGAAAGAAAGCAGTAGTGTCTTAAACTCAGAAAGAAACGGTCTGAATATTCTCACATGGGGTAAAGCTTCAGTTGGCTTTTACAATTTTGTTATTACATGCCAGCAAAGCCAATCCTCCAGCAAAAAAAGAAGTATGACCTCAATGGACAAATTGTTTTGTGGCATCTTCAGTCTGAACTTGTCTAGGCCCTTGTTGAGACTTCTGACTATACCCTTCTTGTATTACAAGTGTCTGTTTCATGGGCTAAATGGGCCTATTTGCAAGTCAGGGGTTCAGCTGTAGTTTTTTTTTTCAGCTCTGAATGCCTTGTTCCCTGGCAAAGAATGGTACAACACTAAGCAGTGCACTGCATTTTGTGCTTTTCTAATTATTAAAATATTTAATGCCAAGATCCAAGTATTTCTAGTTCTAATTTAGGGCTTGCTATGTTGAATTGGCTTTTTTTGACTGTAATGAGCATTACTTACAAGAAGAAATTGCCACAGTTGACAACAGAGTCTCTTAGCTTTCAATTTAAGCCTAGGTTTATGAAGATCTTTACTCAGAACATTTCAGTTGTTTTCAATGAAAATTATAAAATTTTAACTGTCTTTGAAAGTATATTCCCATTTTTAATTAGTTCAAGAATATGGTCTCACTTCCTTTCCTTAAGATTTATGCTTATGTTGCACTTACATTATCTGAGATTGTTTAAATACTGAAAAAGTTCTTTCTACCAGCAGGAACCTGAGCAGTAATCTTGCATACCATTGAGTGAAACTAAATGTTGTTATCTTTTGTAAGGTAAAGAGTAGAGCTCATTTCTGCTGTTCTACTTAAAAAGTGAAAGGCATCAGCACCGTAACTGTAATTATTATTTGTATTTACATTGTGGTAGTACATGGAGGCCTTTGTATCTTTGTGCTATTATGCTGTGTGAAAAGTACAGCAAAAACTATTCCTATTCAAGAGAGCTAATAACTTGAGAAATTGTGAAATACTGGGATGTTGTTATGCACACTTGTCTCTTAACTAATAGTTTCTAGATTTAAACATTGAACTCATTTCTTTTGCCATTGATGAGTTATCATCCATTGTCATTTCTGCAGGATATAGAACATTGGCATGATACATTTGTTCTTATGAAGATAAATAATGAGATTATTGAAAGCTTTTTTGTAATCAATAATTTTGTATTTCCCCAAAACTTGACAGATAATATTTCTTCTTACATGTGCAGTCTGAGAAAAAATTATATAAGAATTATAGACAGTTCCTCATTGGTGGTGGGAAAGAATACAAAAAGGAGATGAGAGCTCAACCCACAGTATTTTGGCAGTCTGCCCCATCCTTGGAGGCACTCATGGCCAGGTTGGATGGGGCCTGGGCAGCCTATTAGGGTGGGTGGCAGCCTTGCTCATGTTAGGGGGTTGGAACTGACTGGGCTTTGAGGTCCCTTCCAACCCAAGGTATTCTATGGTTTTATGGCATTCCTTTCTGGCTTCTAGCTTGTCCTGCAATTTGCTCAGTGCCTTATGTTGTGTAGCTGTGTTATTCTGGTAGCTAGTGTCTCAGCTTCCAGCTCTTTTTGCAGGTTTGTTTTCTACGCAGTGTAGGCAAAGAGAGAAAAAGGCCAGGATATAAACCAGAGAGATCTGTGAAGCTTCTGCAGGAGAGCGTAACGTATGTGAGATCTGTAATGTCTTAGTGACTTCCCTTGCACACTCTGGGAATGGGCAAGGAAGAAGTCAATCTTGACATTGAGAAAATATCTGTTTTCCACAGATTAAGGGGAGTTGGGATTTACTGTAACCATTGAATAAGTGATAGACCTCCCCTTCTGTGGCAGTTTCACATCACCCTACTGCTTTCACTGCCCTGGTGGTGGGTCCCTGTTGGCGCAGCTGAAGTTGGCTCTTATCTAACCTTGAGCCCTGTTGGACTCTGGTCACAGAAGCCACTCCTGCAGCTCCCTGCTGGCCAATACCTCGCCGCATAAGCCCAATAAAGACTCTGACTGTAAATAAAGAGACTTCAGCACAGTAAGGGACTTTTTGATCGCTGGAATTTGATTAGCTGGTAGAGGTGGTGTTATATTTAGGCACTTAGCTGTAGCATGCAGTTGAATAGTGAAGGCCGTTATCAACCTCTTGCACACAGTTATTTTGAATTCATGTTGTATCTCAAACTGCTATAACCACAGCTTCTTATATTTCTTTGAGGTTTTTTTTTTTCTTTTACATCTCAAATGTTTAAAATTATGCACTGGGAAGTGTTCGTAATATGTAAAAAGAAACAACTGATTTCCTGCATGTCTATATATAGAATATTTATATTGACTAGTGATGGTCTCCCTCCTTCTGTGTATGAAATAACATTTCTCAGTCCTAAGGGTGTAAATCAAGATAGAATCAGCTTAAAAAAAGGGCTTTTCTTCCTCAAATGCATAAAATATGCTTTGCAATTTAAAAAGTTTTGTAATTTATAAATTATTGCTGCCTGGGGTTAGTAAAAATTTATATCTTTTGAAATAATTCTGCTAGTTATTCATAGCAGTACTCAACACAAAAGCATATATAGTATGGTACTATTGTAATTCATAGAACACACCAGAGATTACCTAAAAGGGCAAAGTAACAGGTTTTTTACCTGATGCAAATCAATTTATCTCTTTTGATTAACCCCTGCTGAAGCTCAAGCCCAGGGTTTTAGGTAAGATTCTGGAATACATTTGGAGTACAGTGTGTAAACTGATGTATAATGGAAGCTTTGGGTGTATTATGGGTCTCTGTATCTATAAGGAACCAGTTACTGATCTGCCCTGCCTTACTGCTGTATTATTTCTTGCTACTAGGTTCTGCAGACACACTCCTATTTTATCAGAAAGGAACATTCAGGAAGTAAAGTGAGGGCACCATGGAAGATTTGAAATTTCTTACTTTCTAGTAACTTAGCTACATTAGGAAATGTGCGCTGTCAGCAGCCATTGGATCAGGTTCATACAGTGCAGGTGGGTTGGTGTGCAGGGTGAGGGGGGCAGGGTTAATATCGTTCTGTAGCCACAGTGTGGGATGCACTGAAGTCAAACTAATATTCCACATTTTCTATGAAAACATTTTTACTGAAAACTTTGTAAAAAAAAATATTAGTTAAGTTTTAATAAAACCCAAGGATGCTTTATTTTCATAGAGTCATAGAATGGCCTGGGTTGGAAGGGAACTCAAGGATCTACAAGCTCCAAGCCCCCTTTTTGACATGCAGGGCCACCAACCTGCATATCTAATACTAGACCACGCTGCCCAGGGCCCCATCCAACCTGGCTTTGAACACCTCCAGGAACAGGGCATCCACAGCCTCTCTGGGCAGCCTGTTCCAGCACCTCACCACTCTCTCAGTAAAGAACTTCTCCCTGACATCTAAGCTAAATCTTCCTTCCTCCAACTTAAAATCATTTCTCCGTGTCCCGCTATTATCTACCCTTATAAAAAGTTGACACCTTTCCTGTTTGTAGGCTCCCTTTAGGTACTGGATACTTTATTTCAGTATTACTCATATTAGTCTTTAGAGGTGCTATTCACCTATCTGAACCTATTACTCTAATTTTCTAGATATGCATTCAAGCCTTACCTAGGAGAACTGCTTGATGTGTGCCTCAAAGGTATTCAAACACAGCAAAAATATAATAGATGCAGAATATTTTCAAATCTTTCCAGACTTTTGAAATTTTCAGGACTGAACTTTTAATAAGATCTCCACGGTTGTTGATCAGATTTTTTTCCTGTCAGGACTTCCTACAAGTCATGCTTCTTAAATCTCAAATTAAACAAATAGGGAGAGAAGAATCACAGCTGTCACAAATGTATGGAAGAATGTTCAGCAGATGACAAGAATCAACTACTCCCATTAGCAAATGAGGGTTCAAGAAGAAACGTTTCAAAACTATACAGGAAATGCATAGTCTAAATAGCATGTAAAGCATTGATAAAAATTAACTGTAACAAGCAATTTAATGAGGAGGGAGAAGATGGGCAAGCTTAGGAATCTTTTTGTAATAGTAAGTTTAATTGCCATTGACAATGTGGAGAAAATGAATGTGTTCATGATCTTCTAAAGGTTTCCTCTAATCCAAATTATTCTAGATCGTCTCTTGTGGATATAGAAAATTTGTATGAACTTTTCCCTTCTGAGAGCAAAATAAAGCGAGTGATAAGTAATTCTTTCATTTCTCAAGAATCTTTCAAGGGCAGCAGAGGCACGAGCCAGAGGTTGTGTGCATTTTTCACCAGGATTTAACCTGGACGAGCTGAACAAGTCTCTAAAGAACAGCAGCCTGCCTGCTACTCCTCAAAACTAAGGTAAATAACGTATAGTCAAAGTTCCGTGTGAACTTTTCTGTGCTCTGTGTCTATGTGTTATAACTAAAATATTCCATGTACTGTAATACATCCAGAGCTGCATTTTGTGTGACTTCTGACAGTGTCCCATATTTTCTCCCACAGAATGTGCTGCCTTTCACCACAGACTTCTGTTTCACATGCAATTCCCGTTTATCTGGGGAACTAATTAATGATGCTTAAAAATAACTGCATTGCTGTTCCCATAAATCCTCAATATTATATACCTTAGAAAGTATCCTGCCTGTTAAAAAGCAGAAGGTGATTAAAAACACCAGGACAGAACATATCTTTATGCAAATCCATTTAATGAGAAAGCACTAGTCCTTGTTGGAGCAGAACCTTAGATTATACACTGCAAGAACAGATCAGGCCAGTCTGCAGCGTTTTCGTGCATAGACATACAGTTGGAAGAATATCAAGGAAAATATTCTGGGACAACATCTGTCTGAATGAGAACTTCAAACTGCATTTTTCTTGCAGATTATGTGCAGAATTCTACTGTGTGCCACTACATAGATATAGTCATGACTCACTGCCATTTATTACACTGCAGTTTGTGGATGCATAGCCTCCTACCTCTCTTTTTGCTGAGCAAGAAAATGAGTAAACAACTAGTTGAAGGAACGTCAGCAGAAGTTTTCTGATGATTCTCTTCCACACTTCTGGAAAAGCCCAGTTTCACAGTTTTGAAGCTAGTCTTTAATGAGAGCTGAACACAAAGGGTGAAGTCACCTGGTTCTGTTTTTGTAGGGAGCCTGGTAGCACAGCTCTAAATTGCAAATGATTGCATGTGTACCTGTATCTTCATCAGTGATAGGAATGTATATGTTACGCCACCTACTTGGAAATGCTTAAAGTGGTTTTTTTTGCAATGGAGGAGTCATGCCCATCTCTGAAAAAACATCAGGTAGTCAGTGGATGGCATCTATAGATCTTTTACAACATAGAGCTAAGTAATATACTATCCATATCTCGAATTACATTGAGAAAACAGTGGAAGATTCCATTATTTTTACTTTTTAAACATTTACATATTTTAATATGTTTTAATGCTTTTAAGGCTGTCAGGAAACATTATACAAAACTTTTTCTCATCGAAGAACACTAATATTTTAGATAATGAAGGTAGTAAATAAATTAGTCCAGATTATTTGGGAAAATCTTATATTAGTCATTGAACTTTTAAGGAGAGAGAAATCACCCTGAAACTTGGAAAATCTGTGCTTTTCCTCAGTTGTGGGGAAAAAATACCTGTTTTTTAAGTAAATCCTGTGAGAGTGGGTAACTTGATGTACTAGGTATTGTAGATAATGTATTGGGAATCAGCTCCTGATTTAATTGTTAAGGACAAGGGACTAATCAGAATGAATTCTGTGGCTTATTTTCCACAGATACGGATGAATCATCTTCCCTCATATATGCATGTATGAGTGCAATTTTTCATAGCAGTGCTGTGTGAACTACTTTTTAAAATTTCTTTTTCTTCTCTGGTCACACATCTGAACTCATCTATATTAGCAGTAGTGATCCCTTATGGCACCTTACAGAAATAAATTTAGATACATATAGGTTGTCCAAATTCTTATTTGGGCAACCTTTCAGAAATAGAACATTTAATGTAATTTTTCAGTGGGAGGTCTTGTAAACTGTCTCTTAGCCACTTGCTAATTTTCTTACAATGTTATAATAATAAAAATAATAATTATTTAGTTTACAGCACATTTCATTTTCAAAGTGCTTTTGTGGTACTAATTATTCCTCGCTGTGAGGTTTAATGGTGCGTACCAGAGAATTATATCCTGGCTTAATGCCAATTGCCAATCAACTGACAAAATTCCAATTTTAGAAGTTTTCCTGAGAGGAAAAAAAAGCGTAATTTAAATTAGCTTGGACAGAACAGCAGTTTATGTGGTGAGAATTTGTCAGTCTTCAGAGGTGCCCTGAATGTGTAGATACTTGGTGGTAGGGTGAATTTATGACATTTCAAAGAGTTAGCAACTTCAATTTTAAAAACAACTGTATTAAGAATAAAGGTACTTTAAATCTTTTGGAAAAAACCTCCTTAGCAGAGTTCGCTGATTTAGATATACTCAGATTCACCATGATCTGAAAACAGATTACTAGCTGTATTTCATATGTAAGAAGATATAGGTACAATGATGAAGCTCCATGGTCCAAAGCTTTGTTGGAGTAGAGGACTTTGTTCCATATCGTATTTTGTCCTTTGGCAAAGGTGGCACGGGAATTTTCTACCCACGTAACAGAATGTCTGGTTGTGGGTTGGGTCTGATTTCAGAGTCTGTATTGAATGCTCTGCTATTATTAAGACATATGCTGTGCTAGCTGAGATATTCCCAGTTGATGAAATTTGATTTTTTTTTTTTTGGCAAGTTTTCACTTTGTTTCCCATTCTGCCCATGGAGGATTTCGGTGGTTAGCTCTATAGGGACTGTTGTAGGGAGAGCTGGGCACATACTTGCTGCTAGATTGGCTCTACATAATTCCATCCAGCTCATTCCAGTGCAAGAAGTTACCAGATTTTGAAAGTTGGGGGAATTATGATTTTTCAGCCAGATCTAATATTTTAAATGGAGAAATACCTGCAGGATTCATCCTCAAGAAATTGATATCACTTGTTTTATTTTCAGTTAGATTTTACAAGTGTTTACTTAATGTACACTTGCAGCTGGGAATCTGGAAATGCAATTTTTCTAGTGTGATGCAATCCAGAGTGTGCCATTGCCTTTCCTTGGGCAGAAAGAAATCCTACCAAATGTAGGTATCCTACTAAAGATTTCAAAAACATGAATTACTTGAAAGATTGTTACTCTCTAACCTGTAAATACTTTTAGAGTATTTTTAAAGACATGTTAGCTACCTGATGGAATGTAATAGCTACAAAGGGTACTTATTCAGCTACTTCACTGGATCATAGATACAGCTAGAGACCTTAAAATACACCAAAATAATATATCCTTTAGCCAAGAGGAAAGCAGCAGCTTTTCAGAGGTGTTGCAGCATGTTTGGTTCATCCTTGTAAACCAACATTTTGTTTCTTTAAAGCTGCAACCAGGAATGTGTCAACAGCAACATTTTCACTATAACAGATTAAAATGTCTTTGATAGTAGGAGTAGGATTTGTCTGAGTCAATGGTATCATCCATAACTCTTGCCTACATGGGATCTAGCTGTCTGTTTCCTTTTAGTCTATTGCAAGAAAGGTCGCTTAGGATGTGATTCTTCTAATTCTGTCTATGACAAATTGGCTGTATTATGTATAAAAAAAAAAAAAAAAAAAAAGTCAGTTTCTCTCCACTGATGATAATTGGGATTACCATCATAAGTAGTTCCAACACTGTAGATAAGAAAACTTTAGTTGTGGTGAAGGCCATTCCAAGTAATGTCATGTGCCTCCAGAATGTAACTGGAACAGTAAGTATGTTAAGCCTGGATCAGTGGGAGATGAATGGCAATTGCTTCAAGTCAGAAGCTTGCCTCTAGGGAGTGATGTTTTCAGTATCTAAACCAGATGTCAGAATCACCCTGATTGGCTTTTATGTGAATAGGGGGCAACGTGCTATTCCCTGAACTGTGTAATGTTACCAGAGGCTGTGCTGGTTGCAATGGACATATGTTATTATAGAGCACTTCTTAAGATTAGACAGGATGGACAATGACAGGTCCAGTGCCCTTTCACTATTTAGTTTGTCAGCACAGATATCATAGAATAATAAAATCGGAGAATGACCTAGGTTAGAAGGGATGTTAAATGTCACTTAATTTTAACCCACTGCTGCAGGCAGGGATGCTTCCCACTAAATCAGGCTGCTCAGGCCCCATCCAGCTTGGAGTTGAACACTTTCAGGGATGGGCCATCCTCAACTACCATGAGCAACGTGTTCCAGTGCCTCACCACCCTCTTAGTAAAGAAATTCATTATAAACCACTGGGGGCTAGTTGAAGAGTTCAAACTACGAAGTTTGCCTCAGCTTGACTTGCCCATTCACATATTATGGCAAGGATGGATTTGGTCATGCCAAGTGCTCCATGCACTATACTTATTGTTCTAATAGCTCCTTCTTGCCTGGTGTATTCGTAGTGCACAGAACCCGTATTTGGGGTGGAACTACAAAGGTGAATTGTGTAAACTGTGGCTGAAGGGATACGCATTTGGATGAGACTACCAGGTTAGATGATTTTGAGGATTTAAGACAGTATTCAGACCATCGTATGATTCCTCTTCTGCATGATCAGATTTCCCTGCCTGGTAAAATCTTTCGGTACTGACTCAAGCTAGCCTGTGGGCATCATGTGCATGCAGCAGAGGTGAGTGTTTAGGATGCTGTGTGAACACCAGATAACAGGACATTGTAGGCACAAACTTGCTTTGCTGTTGGTGGTAATAATTATATTCTTCAGGAGGCAGTTAGTTCTCTATTGAATGTGGATCAGATAATGCATGAAGATAACATTACTGCTTGTTAAATTTATGCTTTAATCTTAAAGGGATTAGATTTATCTTGGTTTAATTCTTTAGTTCATTATTTTTTTTCCTTTCACACCTAGTCCTGGGTTGTGTTTTACTTTTCATGTCTTTCTTTGTTGGATTACTTTTCTGTAAAATGACTTTGGCTGTAGCTGGTTCAAATAGCAAGTGTACAAGACTATACTGTTCAAATGGTGGTAAACCTGCAGAATCTTTGTAATACACATCTTGCCAGTATTTGACAAAGTAAAAATATTTTACTGACATAATTTGAACTGCCAAAATTTCTGATTTTTGTCAAGACCCAAAAAGTAGTGACATTTAAACACTTTTTCTCTATCTAATTAAAAGATTTTGGTGTAGACAAAATATACTCTACTTTCTTCGTATATTTTCCCACCATTTTTTCTGCAAGTATGTAATTAGATATGCTCATTTATCAAACTTTTAATTGAAATATCTTTCTGCAGCTTACTTTTCAATGATCTGACTTTCCACATTATTGGGTTCTTTTGCACTTTTCTTGTTATATTTAGTAGTGGTGTTTTGATGTAACTAAGATTTTTAACATTAGACAATTTTCTGAAATAAGACTTTAGTGTCCTCCTGTGTATCCCATTTTATCTATAATAGAACAGAACCAAAGAGTGATCAGAATAAGTAAAAAGAATGGTTGCATCTGAAGCAAATAAGGAAGTCCAAAATACAGGGACAAGATAGTCTCGTTTGCGCTCTAGAATAAGAGAAGACACCAGATCATTCCTAATGTGTCATGCAGCACCTGTAGCACTTCTCTCCTAAGAGAGTTGTGCTCTTTTGATGCTTTGGTAAATGAGCCAAACTTTTGGTAAATGAAATCTTCAGCACTGGGAGGAAAAAGTCATCAGGGACTTGTGACACAGGGTCACCTTGACTTTTTTTTGCATGTCAATTTCAGGCTTGTCCTGCAGCAAATTAGT